GTAGAGTCGTATTCCTTTTTGGTCGTGAAGCCTAGAGTGGTTTGTGTGGCTTGAGGGAGATGCGCTCGATCTCGTTTGTTACAAAACCGTACCAAGGCATGACAAAAATACCAATACATATGATTAGCGATGCCGACGTATGAGACTGACTTGGATGTGACGAACAAGAGTGTATCTTTGAGAGACTAGCTCTAAACTCTATGTTCTGATATACAGTGCGATAGGTATAGAATAGTAGTTGCAGTACTCGAATAGCGTTTTTGAATGATAAGTGATGCAGCATGTAGTTATGCACGTGGAAGAATAGATAAAATGAACGTAATGGTTACTAATCAGCTAGTTAGAAGCATCCACAGACATAATAAGAGGCGATTTCGAAATGAAAAATGTATGTTATGATAACATAAATTGCTGACCTCGACTAAGTGAATGAATGCAATATTAGGTCAAAATGACATGAAAAATTGGAACGAACTCACTTAAAGCAGGAAAATTTCACGTTTTTGAATAGTAAAAATATCCCAATGAGTTCTCACAAAGTGGAGTGGAATTTTCATAAAATGATAATTTGTTCGGTGAGTGATATGATTGCGAAAATGTCAATTTAGTGACAGCACGAACAAGATTAATAATTCCACATTCGGTCATGATATTGGCAATAATGTAATAATAAGCATATAATGATAATTTGAATCGTAATGGAACAATCCGAAAAATGTATCAATGAGGATAATTGACATGAGGACAAAGTATCGATAAGATAATACGACTTGAGCATGTCCATGTCATGTTGCACAGGCTGTGCTGATTGGGTCGGATTGGAGATTGCGCTGGCTTCGCTGAATATGTTCGTCGAACGTATAGAGTGCAGAAGTGCCTTCATCGACGTAGCTTGCTGCGTTGCGTTCGTCGTCGGTGGGCTTACCAATGAGGAAGGCCCGTTCGCATGCTAAGCGAGCGAGAGCCATAACAGAGCAATTTTGACACGTATGGAAGATGGCTGGGAAGCTAACTCCATTTTTATTAAGCGTTACTCAATATTTATAGGCAGACAAAATAAACTACAGACATGTGATTAATAGGATAAGAAGGTCACATATATACGCTTATATAAAATCAGTCTAGATTAATAAGCGAATAAATAACAAGGTCAAAGTATGGCTCGAGAAGAATGAATAAAATGTGATGTCCGAAAGCTAGAATAAGGTATATGGGCTTGGCATAATAACTGACACTACAGTTCGAAACCCCTTAACTACGACCTCCCGGCAATGGGCCGTCGTCTTAAGATCATTGCTCACTGTCACCCCTAGGTCCTTATGAGACCGGACTGCTGGTAATGACACATCCCCTATGTTGTACGTATTAACCTTTGAACCCCCAAGTGCATGTAGACACACTTTTCCGAGTTGATAGGCATCAGCCACTCTTTAGACCAGTTTATCATATTATTTAAGTCCGCCTGAAGAGTAAATGCGTCTTTGTCTCCAGTTATTACTCGCCAAATTTTTACATCGTCAGCGTATAATAACATTGGAGACTCTACTATACTTGTAAGATCATTAACGTACATTATAAAAAGTAAAGGACCTAAGGCGGAACCTTGGGGTACTCCACTAAGTACTGGTCTCCAGATGGAGCACTTGGAATTTATTCTTAATTTTGCCTACGACCTACTAGGAAATCCTTAATCCATTTTAAAAGAGGTCCGGCAATACCAAGGTTTGCCAACTTCAATAGCAGCCTATTAGTTGGCGCCTTGTCAAAAGCCTTACTGAAATCTATGTAGACAACATCCACTGAGTTTCCGTTGTCTAGCGCATTAATCCAGAGCTCCCTAACTATAAGGAGGTTCGTTGTACAGGATAGACCCTTTCTAAAACCATGTCGTGCCATGTTCAGCAAGTCATTGGTTTCCATAAATGCTGTTATGGTCCGTTTGATTATTCTTTCCAGTATTTTAATTACAACACTGGTGAGACTTACGGGTCTGTAATTTGATGGAACTTGTCGTAGACCTGTTTTATGTATGGGAGTGACACACCTTGGTCAAGTGACATTTTGAATATCACAGTCAGTGGGGCTGCGATATATTGGGCAATATGTCTCAAGATTTTAGGGTGTAGTTCATCTGGTCCTGTTGACTTCTCCATGTTTAGGGTGCTAAGAGCCTTAAGCACATCGTTTTGGTCGAAGTCCACGGTGAGCAGCTGGTTTGTTGACTCTGTAATTGGGTCTGGTTCTTTCTCTAGAGGAGGTTCCTGAGTGAAAACTGCCCCAAAGTAGTCACCCATAACCTCAGCTTTTTGACAACTGGGACTTTTATTTTATCAGACACTTACTCTGCTTGTATGTTTTCCTGTTAAACTAGACTCAGATGCATGGGATTACTTAAATGGGAGCAAAATAATAAAAGCATTGCAATACGGTACTAAGCCCATGTTGTGCTTTGCGCAAGTAATAGTAGCTGACCTGATCTAATATTCATAAACTCAAGGTAAATCACAACTGCATAAATTCTTCGCTAAAAAACATGTAATTTGGTTATTTACCTACTCCACATTTCTGACTAAATTCATCACTATTTTTCATTCAGGATGCAACAGGAGTGAGCCTTCACAGACCCTAAAAACTGTTTCGCCCTTGGAACTATGGCTCTATGAAACTGTTTACGGGAGACCCAACGAACAGCAGATTATAAAAAGGATGCTGGATGTCCATTTTAGTCTCACAACCACTTCCAGTATTTTTTGACTTCTTTTAATCTTTTGTTTGGAAAAAAACAACAAAAACTGCAGCTTAACATTACCAATACAACTTTTAAACAGGAACTTGGTTTAAACCTTTGTTTGATATTCGATTCTTAATGAACGTTCTTGGATAAATTTTTGAATCGAATGCTACTTTGTTTTATCTACTTAATTGTTGCAAGGAACTTGTGATAAGCGAGCCTCTTAGCACCTAGTTTATGTGTTCAAATGGTTGTGGACGGAATGGAAGGAGCTTTCGCTTAACAGGCTTCCGTGTCTAGTAGCAGGGGGTCACCAAAAATTCCAGGCAGGAACCTAGGTATGTTAACAATAAAAGAGAAATTGGCAAATCATAGTATGATACCATGCCTAATCCTTAACAATAGATCCAGTTGCCTCTCGAAGGACTCCTGGGAAGTCGCTTGGACTAGCTTGGCGGGCAGCGGATTCCAGCATCTGACAACTCCTAAGGAGTAGAAGTTGCGTCTACGGTCCGTTCTGCTATATTGTGTCTCTAGTTTCTGAGACTAAGCTTAAGTAGGTGTTTTAGGGGATGTCCAGAAGTGTTAAGGTTATTGTAAGCCATTAGGTCACCTCTAAGACGCTCTTCATAAGGTGATTTGGTGCATATCTTCGTCATTTTCTTGGGAGACCTACAGACTCGGGTCCTCTCATAGCTTATTCTAACCACCATGGGTTGTCACGGCAGCTGATGGGTGGACACGCGTTACACATCCTAACCGTACCTGCATCTTATAGCTTCTAATTCAAATGCCATATGACAAGCAAGCAATACCACTACCTGCATTAATGGAACACTAGTAACTAAAATGCACCCCGTATGGTACCTTACACTGGTTTACACGCTCGCTTAGCTCTTTGGTGAGAATAATAATACGGTCCTGCTGAAAAAACCATGAACCCCTTTACCTTAATCAAAACAAATAAGTCTGTATTTGCTGCATAGAGCAATTTTATTTTTCAGAAGATATAACAGTTAGGATTGGAGTAAAATGGGAGTATTCAGCAGATGCACGTGGTACATGTCTTCATCGATTAACTGAAATAGAGAATACGGATATTAGCTTAACAGGCATATTTAGAAAGACTAGTGTTTAATTTGAACTTACTGCGTAAGAAAGTTATACTGGAACTACGAATGTTGTAGAAATGGAGTTTCTCGGGGCGTACGAAGCACTCAGACTGTAAGACAGTTATCCAAAACTAATTCGAATATGAATGTGAAAATTTGCAGGTAAGGGTGAACATATTAGGTACCAGTTGACATCATACCGTGAAAAAACACAAATTTGCGAGTGGTGAAATATGATCTATGAAAAAGTGAGCTTAATAACAGTTAATTACCGTTTTACTCCCTGATCATGACCCTTCGGCTTCCTTTTATGGCCAAAACAGCAAACATACACTACACACTGGTAGCAGATTTCCTGCTATATGGCATATTTTTCATAACAAACCCTCTGCAACAGATTGGTAGCATCTGTAACTTCATCTATAGTTGTCGAAAGTCTGGGTCCTTTCGAAATCAATACCGACATACCCTACTCCTTGGCACTCTGTAATAGTTTGACTCGTTGGTGGGATAGTGTTGTCCATCATACTGAAAATTAAAAAACGCAGATCGTTTCCTTTCATTTTGCCGATAACATCATAAAGGACAGTTAGGAACGAAGATGCGAACAGTTTGAGTCACAGGCGGCAGCAACAATTATTTTAGCTAAATAAAAACGAACTTCGGCTTTGGTTATCTAGAAAACAAGGTAAAACATAACCGATTGTCGTTTAAAAACGTAAGGTCTTATGTTAGTACTAGCCAGCTTAGCTGAATAAATACAGTGACTTCAGTAACAGCAGGTAAAACCCAGAAAACAAAGCAAAATCAGGAAACATTTTGCTCCAACGTTTAGAGTATAACACTAACTTATGGATTTTAGCACACTGAAACATTAAATTCTATAACTACACAAAAGAAATAGCGGAAAAAAACAAAGAACGAAGAAAGCCGGCCGATATTTTATAACACAAGACTAGCCAGATTGCCTGAAGAAATACACTGACTTGAGTAGAAGCAACAAAAATCCAGAAAACATCGCTGATTCGAAATAAACTTCACACCAACATATAGAAAATTACACTAACTGCGGCATTTTAGCACACTGAGACGTTAAATTACATAACTACACAAAAGAAATAGCTGAAAGAAGCACAGAACGAAGAAAGCCGACCGCCATTACTTACAAAGATGGCGGATGTAATAATTCCCGCCCCATTCTGATTGGTTGCTAAGCTGAAGGGCACATTTACGAAATTGAGTTGCGTTTAATTGCAGCCATCAAACAGACACGCAACAAACCCACTACACTTGAAGTACGCAATGACCGCCTCTTGTAAGGCCGATCAAGGTCATTGGAACGAAACGGCGGGCGGCATTGAAAGGGTTTGACTTTTTTAACGTGCATCGTATGTCTGTGTTCACGTTTCTATCTCGTTCCCTTCCCCCGTTAATTAACATACCTGGAGTAACGTCTACTCTTTGTATCAGCCAAAAGGTTTTTTGTTCGATACTTCCGACTAAAATGTAGCTTCTGCGGTTGTATGGTCTCATCTTTTCTGACTCCACCGGTGTGTATGCATTTGGACCGGAAGTACTGCGATCTCTGCGAAAGCTGGAAAGTTTAGTTGACAATAACATGCTACAGCTAGGAGCTCAGCGTGTTTTGCTCCCAACTTTAGGTCCGAGACACATCTGGGAAAAGTCTGGTATGTATATATATATGCAGTCATTATAAACCTCACAGGTCGATGGTCTACCATGCAGAGTAGCTTATTCAGAGTCAAAGACAGATTATCTCATGAGTATTGTTTACAGCCAGTAATATATAATTCCCTCACATTCTGTTAGACCCATGAAGAATGTATAACCAATTTCATTGCCTGTCTAAATTTGTCGTACAAGTCCCTCCCCGTTTTGATGTATCAGGTAAGCTACATAAAAATACTTTTGTTTTCAAGATAACCAGCAAATTTCGAGATGAGCCCCACCCGAAACATGGTCTAGTCAGGGGTCGTGAGTTTGTAATGCAAGGTACAGGCACTTTATTCTGTTTAAATTCCAGACCTTTACACATTTGATGCTTCTGTCGAGACAGCTGAGGAAACGTATAGACGTGTGAAGACTGCATATTCTGACTTGTTGGTTAACCTTGGGTTACCGTACCTAGTTGGTAAGCGGACCCTTTTTGTGGCTAGTCCCGCAGTATAACTGTGCTACGTTAATCGATAGATGTCACTTGCAAATTATAAACGACTGATTATTTTAAGGCAATTATTCACTAGGAATACACTATCTAAAATATCCCCTTTTTTACAAAAACTACTTGTATAGTCATTCCTAATAAGCTGTCATCCCATGATTTTAAGTTCTGGATGCTATGTTGGTAACACCAGTCCCAACCCTAGCTGCTACCTTGACGCGGTGGTCAAGCTTGCCCATCGTGGTCATCCAACGGAGTCATATTTGCTGAAACATATGTTTCTGCAGGTTCTACCATGCCAGGCAAGTCGGTTGGAGAACGGTAAGACTAAAAGCAGCAACTCAAGGTTTGAGGGCGAAGTCTTACTGCTGACTGCAGAGGGGTGTGACAGCAGTAAAGTGTTTCCTTCGGACAACCAGCATCTGCAGCGATGCTTCCTCCTCACAAAGAAGGAAGGGTTAGAGAAGGTCGACCCTAAAAATGTCACGCCTCATCTTACCTCCTGAAATTCCGTCCACGGCGGTAAGGCCCTTTGAAGAACGGAGCTAACACATTAAAAACCTCCCACAAAAAGGCCGTGCGCGACCGGCCTCGAGCAGTTGTCCCTTGGGATATGCGGTCACGCTCCCAGGTCGTTAAGACCAACATTAATCCAACTTCCTTTTCAGGTTCCTCAAGAAGTACCCTTCCACGGTGTGGGCAGCCGGGAAGTGACATCAGACCTCATACCCTTAACAGCACACGAGACTGGACATCAGTCCTAAAAGTTAACTGTTAGATCTCACAACTCATTTAAAGCACAGTCCTGTTGTCCTCGTTATTTTCCGCACGGTAGTTGATAAAGTGTAACTATATCCACTGACTGGTAACTGCGGTTCACCTGAGTTTTGGTAATATATCCCCTTATGTTCTATCTAAATCCCTAACACTGAATTAATATGATATGAACTTTAGGGTATTTCAGAGATATGAACCCTTGAAACGAATCAGCAGTAATATGAAGCACGAATATATTTTAGCTTTAATCTCCAGTTTGTTGGTGTTGGTAATGAGCGTTTACTTTGAGAGCTCACATAAAAGTATCTGAATATTCTCCTGGTGTATTATGTCAGTAGAAAGCACTCGATAGATTAAAAATCTCATTAAAAAGTTGTCAAAATGACTACTATAAGCATCCGTTGTCCAATTTTCGGGTGTCCGAATTAAATACATTATCAATTCACCATTGAGAAATAAATTTGAAATACGTCCCGTTATTACGTTGCACACAAGTGACATAGATTTCAACCAATCTGCATGTTATGCAAAACATATATGTATATTCAAAAGAGATCATGCAGATTTGCATGAAAGTGAATTGTCTTAGTCATAAGAACAATCAGTAGTCAGATTGTCACTTATACGTCTGAAGGTAAAATAAAAGGTGTTGCGAATAATTAATAAAGCAAGGTCTTATAAACGTTCTTAAAAAGTAACGGGAGAAAGCTGACGTCTGGTGGTTAACTACAAGCACTATATCAACACCATATACATATGAAAATTCACCAGGTCTCCTCTAATTTGCTGTTGAGTGAAATCTCTCAATCCTTTTTCATTTCTTTAAGTTATAATTTATTAACTCCGTCTGTCACATCCCAACATCTTTGGCATTCTTTTAAAATCAAGCATCTGCAGATCCAGGAAATGTTGGTGGTCTTATTTCAGAGGAATTTCACGTCCAAGCTGATGTAGGAGAAGACCGAATATTAGCGTGTTCGAAGTGAGTTGTAATCAATTTTGTGCTATTCTGATTAACATATTTAATCTCATCATATAGATTCAAGCAGATTTACACACTTATCTGATTGGTCTTTACTTAAAAAAGGAATCCGTCTGCTCTCCCTCTCGAAATGCTCTCACACGGCCACGCGTATACAGCCTCTGCCAGGGAAGTCCTACTCACTGCCTTCTCGTGGCGAGGGTGTTGTTTGCGAAAATGAGAGGACGAAAAGCGAATGTCCGACGCTTTAACCGGATTCAAAACCAATTGTGTACATGGGCTCCAGTATCCTGAGGGAACAAATGGCGTACGAACCAATCGTTGGTCACCGGATACCATGGGACTGCATCTCCTTACGATGCTCCACTGCCTTGTGGATCAGACCTTCAGGTCGAAGGCTCGGGTGTGCCCCCCTAAGATGATAATATACACGGGAGATATGGACAGAACTGGCATTCTTATCGGCGAATCGTTAGAACAGTTAACCAAAGGTGCACTGATCTTTTCGGTTCACTGGACCTCATAAAACCTAAACTTCGACTTATAATATTATTCAAATACTTCTCATAAGTCGCTTTCTAAACGTTAAGGTTTTTTCAAAGATCGAAAATAAGATCTTTGAGTTCGAAAAGTGGTCGATAGTTCCAAATGACCAAAGTTTCATGGTTTGTTTTACCTGTTAACTATACCAATGAAAATTACCCTATCAGATGTCAATAGACCTACATTTATCGCGTGCATTGAAGTAATGTACCTTTTCTGTGTAAATCCAAAGTGTTACCTTACAGTGAACATCGTAGTATCGAACAATTGTATTCTCTAGATCTTTCTTTTGACCAGCCAAGCTACTAGAAAATGGTTATTTATTAAAAATTAACAAGTACTTAGCACATTATGAGTACCATTTACAGCTTTTGAAGCAGCCAGTTATATATGAATGGTTAATAATAGATGCCTGTGTTTTCCTGTTTATAGTTCTTTCTAATTCAGTTTGATGAATTTAAACGGCAGGAAAGTATGTCACTTTATTTAAACAAAGCATAGGTTCTTTGGTTCAAACAATAACTTAAAATCAATCTTCTGGAAGCTGATTATAATGTAGAGTGAATTAAGCAAAATTGTTTGTCCCTCACCACCTATCGGTAACTATGAGAGCTGTCAGTTATAAGCAATGTAGGACTTGGTACGAATCTACATTGGTCCAAGGTGTTGCACCATATAATCAAGGCTTGGTGAAATTATCAAAAGAAATACCACTGAAGTAGTATCAATGGTAGTGAACAGAAGGCATGAAAGATACCTAAACATAAAGTATTATGAAGGACCCAATGTTAAGTCGAATTAACGAGTGGCTAATAGGGCACTGAAACTGTTTCGACTCCCAGATAATATCAAACACTACAAAGTTGAAATGCTTGCTTGTTCATTCAGCGAAACTCCAACTAAGCATGCGAAAATGCTTTATTTTCGAAAGTTGTTCTGGCGTTAATGATAATAAGATATTGAGAATTACCTTGTTGTCCGTCCGATACATGTCCATATTATCCAAAACAAGCAATGTTAGTTTCCTGCCAATGCGTAAAAACCATGTCTATTTTATTGTGGAAAATGTTCTTTTTCATATCTTGTCTCAGAATTATAGTAAGGTACCTAACCACGTTTACCTATTATTTTTCAGTTATTTAAGGCCGCAGTGAAGTATGCTAACATAACATATGTTCTTACATTTCGCTTGTATAAATCTTAAGTTGTAAAATCAGTTAATTTTTTTTAAAAATCTGTCCAAACTATCCATCACACTTCTTGATTCACTTTAGATGCTCCCTGAAATTCAATTCAGAACTTAAAGGTATTTATCATTCTGAAGGAAATTACTTACAGGTGAAGTTGCCAGCTCATTGTGTTCTTTACAATCTTGCCCAAAAGTATTCAATGAAGTTCAAGGTATAGAAGTAAGTAATCAAGAATTATCAGCGAAAGAGTTATTAGTTATTATTACCGAGGTTGGACTTAATTTCGAATAATTGGAGCATTGGGTAGATTGTCATAAATGAATTAATATATTTGTAATATCCCAATATGTAGAAAAATTAGATTTTCTACTCATTGGGATATTAAAAATATATTCATTTATTCATAAAGTTATTGTTTCCGTCCGTAAAAAACCTCTTCAGCTGGTGACTGTTGACCTTACATTAGCCGCCATTACTTCAACATGCCCCTTAGTTAACTGGACGCATTGTCATCAAACTATTTTGAAGTGTACATTCATGGCACAACTGTGATATAGTGCTTGCGTGACCAACTATTTGTATTCATTTGTTTGAGTAACGATTATTCTGAAATCGAATTAACGATGGACACATTTAGTGAACGGATATCAGAGAGCAGAATTCGCCAGCAAAGTGTATTTTTTTAAAATTCAAAACACAATCAATCCTAAATGATTTACTGTTTTTCTCTTCTATTTAAGCATCCCTAACCAGTTGGATACCTGTACTGCTTAAAGTAAAGGGGATATGTTACTTTCTTAGCTTATTATGTGACATGATAGATTATATTTATCATTATCTAGTACACATCATTTAATACTGCTTTAAGAGCACACTTCTATCGAACTCATGAAAGATACTTAGTAATGTGGTTGGAAATAACCCTAAATCATTGCTTCCGAGGTAACTTTACAGGTCTCATTTGACATCACGATGTACTTAGCTTTGAATGTCACTGATTGAATAGTTTCATGTTTATTTTTTTAAGGTCGCCCACTGTTTCCTATTGGGTGAACGATATTCAAAGTGCTTTGATGCCACTTATCAATCCCCTTCAGGCTCAAAGTAAGTTACAGTGAAATAACCTCTGAACAACTACATTGTCTTCATCATTTTTTTAGTGTTTGGAAATTTTACGTATGATGTTTATCTTATAAAATGACACACATCACTTCATATATTTTATATCCTAGACTTATGTTCATGGGGTGCTATGGTCTTGGAATATCACGTTTACTTGCCGTCTGCATCGAACACTTGACAAGAGTTGCATTTCCTGACAAATCTAAAGATCAGATCACACAGCTTCGATGGCCTGTCCGAATCGCACCATACAGCGGATCAATAGTTCTACAGAAGGTAGTTGGTTTATACTTTGAGTAATATGGGAACTTTTAAATATGGATTCTAACGACTAAGAGGTTCAGTTCTCGTAATGTTGTATTACTACTGCTGCTACTACTACTACATGTTTTTGTAATAAGCTGGTCACAAAGCAAGTATGTCTTCTGTACACACCTATTAAAGTGATGTCAACACCTGATTACGCAGTAAGTACATATGACTGAGATCACGGTATGAATGCTAGCTTTTTTTCCGAAGCATCACAAGGGTTAGATCGTTATAAATAAGTACTTCACTAAACTTTATCCACAAGTGGCTGTAAGAATGTCCTGTTTATAAAACACCAACAAACTAACTTTCAGTTACAATTATGACGTTTTTCTATTTATCTGAAGGAAACGGCCAAGGATAGTGTGAATCCAGATGAGCTGAAATATATCCTCGATACCATTCAAAGTGATTCCATCAACTTCAAGTTACTTGGTGACATTTTGGTGGATGATCGCAAAGAATTAAGCTTGGGTAGAAAAATTCTGGATCAAAGCCGCTTGGGAATACCATGGATACTTATTGTAAAGGTACTTATAAACTCGTAAATTTGATTTAAACACCTACCATATCACTAACAGTGTACACAAAAAGAAGTAGAGGGTATGTGTGATAACTATACGGAATAAGGTTCATTATCTAACCTGGCTGGTTTTGTCAAGAATCTTCCACTGTCCCTACGTACATCATCAGCAGTAACTTTAGATTAGAGTAAGGTATCCGAATCTCTCCACATATGACTGCTTGTTCTGTCGATCTTGGTTGTTGACACCTATCACGTCCAGAAGGACAATAAAAGCTTCCCGATTAGATCACTCAAATTAGAGAACAAAACTCCATTTGGGCTACAGATGTTCTCCAAGATTAATAAACTACCGAATTGAACCAGGTTAATATTAAAATTCATACAAAAAACTAAAATACTTTAAACCTGGATAAATGGTGAACATGCAGTTAATAAACTGGCATTAATGTAACCCACTGCCACTGCAAAATCAAAAATACCATCAACGAAGATGAAACTAGTTTTAAATTATGCAAAAAAGGTAGCAAATTCGCCCATCATTGAGTGGTAAGAATCTCATTTTAGAGAAGTTAAAGTGAAAACCCTATGTTCTGCGTTGATATTACAGAACTATCCTGTAACTTATTTTCTATGTGTGAATTAGTAAGACTGATATAAAATATAAGTGTAAATCGCAAAATTACTGCTATTAAGCCTTAAAGTCCAGCGGTTATTTCCTATGAGACCATTTATGTGCTTATCGTCAGAAAAAGAGCGTTCTTCAAGTCATTTAGACAACAGAATGAGTTTAATTTCGAACGCTATTTTTTCAAAACTTCGAATGGAAAAACCATAATTCTTAATTATTTGTGGGTAGCCTGCAGGTTGTGGTTAACCCATATATACTTTATTCGATGCATATGGCACAAAAGGAACCGGACGACAGCTATGTTCTACATAACTTGTGCATGCTACATATGAGGGATTCAATTTGCTTTGAACCAGATATATCTGCAGCTCTCCAGCTCCTTTAAAGTCAATTAGATATGACCTTGCTTGTATTGTAATAAGTGAGAACACAGGTGCGGAGGGGACAACCGAATGTATTGTAGTATAAAATTACGGAATACCTTGTTGAAATATAAGAACCATTGAATGCTTCATTCCACACTCTGTATGACTCATCTAAGTCACAATCTCCTGTTTACATTCTATTATTCATTTGAACACATAAACATTGGTACAAGAGGGCACCAAATTTATATGCGCCACACAAAACAATAGGAATTCGAAGAGAGAAAAAAGGTAAGGAACGTTAAAAAACAAGGACAATAACGAACAGATTAGTGTAATAGTAATAATAATGGTAATAGTAGGGGAAACGGAAAGGTACAGCCAGAAGAAATCTTTTATTTAAGGAAGATACAACCACTTTTTATGAAGAAAGTAAAAGAAGGTTGCAGCAGGATCGCCACTGACTTCTATTCTGAACCATATCTGATGCCAGATTGGCATATGCCGCTCTGGCTTTCACTATACTTGAATTAATCTCATTACTCACGCCACCACCAGCACTTATGCAGCTACCTAGATACACGAACTTTTCGAATACTTCTATCTGCTCACTACCCAGGGTGAGTGCAAGTTCAGGATCCTGTCAGTCTTGTAGAAGTACTTTGCACTTCGAAGGTGCAAAGCACATACCATACCTACGGACATTGATTGCCAACTGATTAAGCACGGATTGCATGCCTTGGGCATTGTCGCACAGTAAGACAATATCATCCGCTTACTCAAGGTCGAGAAGTCTTTCTCCAGGAGCACACTGACGGGCTTCGATGAGCTGTAAGGAGCCTGAAGAGACCCAGTGCTTATGAGCGGGACGTTGCGCGAAGCCTAGAAGCTAGCTCTGTTCGATACTTACTAGCAACAAAAGTTCCAACCAACTTCCTGACATCAATCCTTTAGTGACGATCACTTCGTTGACCACTGAAAAGTAAGATAAGATTGGCGCAGACCAGGGCAGAGGCTGTATGCGCGTGGCCGTGTGAGAGCATTTCGAGTGGGAGGGCGGGCCCACTACACTCTCGACCATACCAGGGCATTTGGGAGCTTACCTTCTATTCTCTTCAACTCGATCTTTTTAGCCTTTTGCTAGGTTTTCCCCCTTTCGATTAGTGTTACAAACTAATTATGTCTGTGGACATAAATCGCATACACCACAGTACCACTGAATATTTTTTATCTATTTTCCAAGTGCATTTTTCGGTAAGGCATGAAACACGTATACTACAAAAGAAACTCTAGATGAATAACTCGATTACTAGGCGTATCATGACGTACAGTAGTAACCGATCAATCGTATTAATGAATCTGCTTTTAAGCAAAGCTGCATACATACTGAATGGAGTCAGTTATAAATTATTAGTTTTTAATGGTTAAGATCATGAGTCAGTTGAAGCTAGACCACCATGGGAAACCTGGAAGCACTGAACGGCCGTTTCGTCCTATTACTCAAAATATGCTCACTAGTGACTGGCTTCAAGAGGTATATCCTGGAGTTCTAGTGCGAAGTAGTGACCAGTGGAGTTCAACCAGGTCTGTTGTGAGATAGTAACTCACAATGGTGGATGCGTCGCTCAATTTCGTGGATTAGTTGAAGTTGAACATTAACACCGTTGGATGCCGGTCCAGTGGTCTAATGATTAAGTGCTCGCGCGCGAAATCGGTAGGTCCTGGGTTCGAGTCTCGCAGGGGGCGAGATCGTGGGTGCGCACTACTGAGGAGTCCCGCGATAGGACGAAACGGTCGTTCAGTGCTTCCATGGTGGTCTAGCTTCAACTGACTTATGGTCTTAACCATTGAAATTACTATAATATTCACAAAACCCATCTGATATTAATTTTTACGTTAAAAATTTTTAGAGTCAGAGAGATGGTACATATGAATTGATTGATGTTTATAAAGACAGATCATGTGTAGCTACTTTAGAACAAGCCAGGTCTGCATTCAGTAACCCTGCAGTATTTGATGCATCATCTCTCCCTTCATGGGATCACCGACAGAATGAGCGCAATATAAATGGAAACAAACTCATTTAACTTGGTAAGCGCATACAAAACAAGTAATTTAAAGTTAAAAACTGTAATATAATTTTAAACTAAAGAAATATGTACAATAAAAACTTGTTTGATAATCCATTACTTGTTTTTTGACCATACTTTATGCCACGTCGACTTGTTAGCAGAATTACCTTCTTTTAATTCCTTACTTCTATGAACGTCGTTAGTACTTGGCGGATAAGGCTCCAAGAATCGACCAACTTTAATCTTTAGATCTTGCGAAACTCCATGCTTCGAACGTTTGTGAAGTTTTTTGGAAACCCACCTACCATACTTAAACCTCGGTCTGTCATTATTCATAGGAATTGAACAATTTGACGTGGACGACAATGTGTTTTTGGTAGAGAGATCACTATTGCACGAAAGTTTAAGGGGCACTGTAGCAATCTCATAAGCACTGCAACTTCGAGAAAGATTGACCATGTTCAACATATACGCAGGAGTTTCAGGTATATATGGTAAAGTTAGTGAGACCGACTAGAAATAAATTATATGGAATGTAAGAACATCATTTAGAATTCTGCAAGACGCGTTAGACAAGACTAATAACAACGCCCCTGATACTTAACAAATTTTGGTAGGATATTATGATCATATTAACTGATAAGCGACAGAAACTCAAATATATCCAACTTTCCAGTTACATCCTAGTTTTTATAATATAGTGATCAAGCTTCATGACGTTTTTCATAAAAAGTTAAACGTATTTTAAAGTTATATGTTGTCAAATATAAATCAGACGAACAAAATAAACATGTCCGAGGTCAATATCCATCAAAGGCAAAAATGTCAAAAAGTTGATTGCTAAAAGATATTGGTGTTACCGCGGCGTTAAAACTAGGTGTTCATGGTTTTCACCACTAGTTCCCAGAAAACATTTTACTTCCAACGGCTAGATCACCATAATTTTCTTTTTGTTGTACAACTGTTGAGTACTTGTACACATCACTTATTGGTTACCACTGTTAGTTTATCTAGTGTACACTCAAGTTTACCTGAAAATCTAGTTTGATTCTCCGAATAGATGATATAACTACTTAAATGTACTACTAATGACCATAAAATACCCAAAAGTTTAACCATCACGTAGTATGGTTGCAGTTTATGGGTTTCCAACATGTTACACAACGATGAACTTGAATAAATTAAATTTAAAGTGCTAAGGCATAAGCTTCAAGGTGTTTTGTACGTTACACTGATCAACATACATTTGGAATACAATATATGAACAAACGGGTTTGATGATCTTATCTAATAGACATGTTTAACCATTGTATGCGATAGAACATAACACATGCTAGTATGTAAACATCCTGCTTCGGTTTGGGCACCCAGGCAGTATCCCAGCCCTCACACTAATCGAATATGGCGCATGCTTATTTGGTGCCTCCTTGTACCAATGTTTATGTGTTTAAATAAATAAAACATCCTAATGGGTAGCAGAAAAATTTATTCGTAAATGCATAAATCTTTTAAAACTGACAATGAATAAGTAGGCCAAACATACTTCTGAATTAGGTTGCTTTTCATGTTCAGTTGATATACTTGTAGCAGGCGTATTCAGCTCCATTTCAACTGAAATAAAAGTAGTCATTTTGAGTTAATTGTCATGATCATAAGAAATAACTCCAACCACTAAGATATTCCTATACGATTACCAAATACATTATTCGCCTTGTTTTTTAGGTTCAAGCAAATCTTGATTCCCAGATGGTAGCTGAGTAAAAATATTACCACTACCAATAACAGATACACGTTTCTTGATAAAAGCAAAATTTACGAGACATTTTCCGTTAATATTCAAACGTCACAGCTTCAATTTTCGAGAAACGTCTCCTGTTTAGTTTGATCATCGTACTCATATCTTGTCACTTGTTTTTGACAGCAATACCAAACCTTTCTATCGTACATTAGGATATTAAAAATATACTGTATTCACGATAAGAATAAGCTTAGCTGAAACAATAGGAGGGATTAATTTACGTCGCTAAAATAATACACTGTATATCATAAAACGTTGGTGAAATAGGGTTGCTAAATTTAGGTAAGTATTCTTAACAGATAATCAAAATCAACGATACTTTATGTGGATAGAAATAGCTTATATTATATTTACTTGAAACTCACAGTTACTGTGATCATTCTAAGTTCGTTAAAGTCAACCACTATCTTGCTTTCATTTACTTTTACCGCAAGTATCTCTCTGGGGGCTTACAACCTGGAATTCAAACGAGAATGTTTTTGACTCAAAAAATTCGAAATCTTTCCTTGGATTGGTACAGACTGATTATTGAACGAACAAGAGGAAGTGAAGTAGTGAAGCCAACCTAGTCTTTAGAGAGTAGTGTGCCTTGTCGAGTCAGTAGCTGGTGAAAACCTTGGAGTTATCCAGAAAGTGTCCCGCTTGTTGTGTGTCATCCAGTTCTGTCCATATTCTTTTCGTATAGTTTTAAAATATACGAGAACAGCGTCTGATGTGTAATTGAACATTGTTGTAAAAATACTTACAAAGCTGTGGTTGAGAAAAACGTTTCAGAAAACACTAATGGGTCGATTTTAAGTATCAAATATATCTCAGAAAATAAAGAGTCCTAGATTTTCAACACGATTGTCCACAAACTACGTTCTTATTTGTTGTTTCATCACACAGTAAACGGTTGGAGTATACATGTAGTTTAGAAACATACCTATCTGGTTCTCGTTTTCTGTCTTCGATGGAGCTGAGTAAAGTTTGTGTGTCGTTTGATAAGTGATTGACTTTAGTTCTTTTGCTTCATCTCCATCAGGTGAAATAATCAGACGACCAAAGCGACAACTATGAAATGGTACAGACGTACCAGACAATGCTTTGTGATTTTCTTTTTGTAATCCACCAGGACTAACTGGAGCAGTAATGGATGAATAAGGAGGCCATTCTAAAATTAATAACAAAGAATTACTTATAGTTCAAAAACATGAATTCAAAAAAGATCATAATGTTACATCAATAAAGGTGCTCGAGTGCACATATCTTGCATTGAAACTTGTAATTTACTAATCTAAGAAGAAAACTGTACGTCAAAGATTGATCTGCTTTAAACAATTTCGTTTGTACACGCATTTGAGTGTTTTCTCTGTATGATTCATTTCATGCAACAAAAGATTGGTCAATTAAGAATTGATGTTAATTAACGAATTTTCAATCTCCCTTATCATGATCATTTGAGTCAAAAAGCTGAACAAATTATTTCAGTTTCTAAGGATTTGCGTTTTCTCTGTTTGATGTCAAAGACTACAAATGATCATACTTGAATACCAGTTACTACCCAACTTTACTAAATATTTATGACTACACAGCAATATCCAGGCAACCCTCTCAGGATGCCCATATGCCAACAGAGACTGATCAACTGCAGTCTCCAATAACAGCATATATAGCCGCTTACATGTAAAACTCATACCCGTTGCACAAGCTAGTGACCCTCTGAACTCAGAAGTTTAATGGATAAAGCGTTGGCATTCGAAGAGAAAGGTACCAGCACTCGAATAATGGAGTGAACATCACTGGGATTCATGGGCATCCAGCGGAAAAGTCCATCGATAACCATTAACCGACTTTAATTAAAAGATTATTTCACGTCTACAATTTCAATTACATGATAATAAATAGAAAAATACTACAAGCACACATGATGTCGAGAAATGAAGTGTTTTGCGTAAAATCTGGATAAAATGATAACTTACCTATAAATTTATACGACTTAACCTCATGACGAAGTACATAAAACTGTTTAAACACAGAAATAATACATATTATTGTAGAAAATAAAATACGACCTGACTAACCTTTCATATTACCAGATAAATGATCTAAACATATATGATGTGAACGTGGATCACACTTTTGAACAGCAATGTCTGAAAAAGATTTTCCAGCTGGCTTACTTGCTGTGCCGATATGATCAATTTTATTGAGATTATTTTGAATTTCTCCACTGAGTTTATTTTTACAAGAAAATCTGATGTTGATTCCGAATGAACTAGCTTGATTCCAGTACTTACATTATTATATGTTGTAGATGATATATCAGAGGTGAGATCTAATGTCGATTGGGCTGTATGAATAGTCAACATAAATAACAAATTGATAGGTACGAGCAAAATTCTAACAATAAATCAATATATATTATGGAAATTTATTTGAAACATAATTAGTTATAACACTGATGAATAGTATTTGTAAAGTAAGGTTAAAGTTTTAGAAAGCTTTTTCGATTGGAATGTAGTAAATTCACTATTGGAAACATGTTTAGAATCAAATATCCTAGCTGTACAATCTTCCTTACATATTCAAGGTAGATAGATTATCAATATACTTTTCGTTAAAGTGCTAGTAAAGTGAAAGTTCAAAGTGTTAAAACATGTGTCACAAACACCAACATTCATGAAATTCATATCTAAATTATTTTAAAGACTAAGAATAGCTGAGTGAAAAATCGTTTTCAATAAACTCATCATCAGGTTCTACAGTTGTAAGTCCATAATTGTTGTGATATTTTACAAAGGTCAAAACAAGACATGTATTAATGAATTTATCAGTAGAGGGTTGTGGAGATTGGTGAGTTTAAATTAATATGACGGATGTTAGACCACCATTGAAAATTTGGGAGCACCGAATGGTCGTTTCGTCCTAGTATGGGACTCCTCAGCAATGAGCATACACGATCCCGCATGCAAGACTAGGAGCCGGGACCTTCGGTCTCGCGTGCGAACGCTTAACTACTAGACCACTGAGCCGGCATCCAATGGTGTTAATGTCTAACTACAAGCAATAATGAATTTGGAAATGTTGCATGTTAAAATGGTGAACGTTTGCATCTGATGCGACATAAATACTTCAATATAGTGTTATTTGTAAATCCGAAAAGTCACTTAATCTACCGTACGTTTAACAACGAATTTTATGGACAAATAGATGGGTCAGCTAGTGGGATCGCCCCTAGAGTCCAATCCTCACTAACATCTCTCTAGCTAAACTGGAAAGTGGATTATCGAAAGACACCCTCAATAAGCTAGATCATTACTGTCGAAACATAGATGACACATTAATCATGTGCGACAAAAGCATCGAGCTGCTGAACAGTTTTAATAACGTTTACCCAACTATTAAATTCACCAGCGAAGAGGAGAAAGGCAATAATATGGCTTTCCTTAATTTCCTGATTTCCAGAAGGAAAAAAGAAATGTATTTACAAAGAATACTTGGGCGAGTCAGTATACCTATTTTTACAGCTTCAATACGAAATAAATTCGGTTAAATGTCTCAGCCACAAATTCAAACAATTATGTTCTGAGGATAATGTAGACTACGAAATAGATAAACTAAAGAACACATTACGAAATAATAGCTATCCAGATAATTTCCAACACAATGGAAAAATAGGATAAATTCTGACACGGTCACCAAGAGAACTTTCTATTTAAAACTCGATTCCAAAGCGGATATGGTGGGTGAATTTTTAATATGTCGGCTCAAAAGATCTGCTGAGGGACATTTCACGCCGCCAGATTACATGTAATCTCAACCAAATCAGCACTCACACAAATTAAGGGTGGGCTATCGATTACGGGCTCCTCCATGTGTGCATACCAATGCAACTGCTCTTGTGGTAATGCACTGTGTACACACGATTTATTGTATTACTATTATACTGATTACAACTTGACACTTAACTTAAAATCATTCTGACCTTTCTAACTTACAAACAACACTACATTGAAGTAATTATGTCGTAAGAGATGCCAACGTTCACCATTTTTAACATACAACATTGCCAAATACATTATTGTATGTCATGTTTTCACCTTTGTAAAATATCAATATAATTATGGACTTATAACTGTAGAGTTTGAAGATGAATTTATTTAAAACAATTGCCCAGTCAAATATTCTTTGTTGTCTGAATATTCTATGGGGATTTTTAGACTATTTAAAGACAGTGAAATTTAAAAGATACTACTTAAACCTAAGTAACTCGGTGACTAGTGACTTTAAATGAAAATAAACTCGACCAAGTTGAAAATGAAAAGCGTTTAAAAGAAAACAAATCACTTGAATATACAGGACATTTATACTTGGGGGAATCGAGTCACTGACTTTCAGGGAAGTGTCAAACAACTATGACACTTAAATATTTTTGCCCAACCTCTAAAAGCTAACTTCCGCATAAGGTATCAACATCGAGAGATAGGTCACTGATGATGTACGTAAAAGACCACTGAAAATCACCATCTTACAAAAAATTTCCACACAACACTACACTAATATTTTTCCCACCGTATCCACTGGACTGTTAATGTCATTCCCGATAACTCCGCCTGTAGCTTTTTTAGGGTTACTACCGATCCCAAAACCGGGTAAAAGGAGGGTTAGGTACGTAGTCAACAACCTTATCCCGTAGATTACAACCTTGCTAAAAACTCGCTAACCAGAATGAACCATTTAAACCTTCTAAACGCCGTTCTCCAAGATGAAGGAAGAATTATGACGCCTCATGGTGAAAGCCGAGATTCTTCGGGAGTCACGAGGTCGGTACCCCTTCCAACAACCACAGCAACAATTCACAAAAGTACATTGGATGTCCAGACAACGTGGGAGACCGGGAAGACCAATCAAATATATACGGAAGTAAAAAGACACTAATTAGTGGTGCTCAGAATCAGTGAAACCCATTCGACTCAAGTTGGAGAGAAAATATTAGATTCGGAAGATATGCCGCTGTACTCTGTTCATGAAGTAAATGTTTGGCACACACAAAATTTGCACTGATGCAGTCCAAAGAAGCACGTATAACACTTATAGAATAGAAATCTCATGGACCCAGAATTATGGAAGCATCCTTAAAAAAAACAAAGAATAAAAGAATCACAATGAATATTATCTAGTGTCATGCAACCATCAATGATAGCAACGAAGACGGTAAAGACCAGTTTTACGAGAGGCTGAAATCGATCATAGCGAGGTGCTCAGGAAAGAGCCTGATCCTTTTGATGGGATATTTAAAAGCCAAAGTCGGAACGCACAACATCAGGTATGAATATACCGTGGAACAATAATCACTGACTGGGAGAAAAGAAAAAAGAATGGTGACAAATTTACAAACTTAGGTGCATTCAACAAAATGGTTATAGGTGGCACCATATTACCCCAGAAATGTATGCATATATATGAATCTCACCGGATCACACTACAGAGAACCAGATCGACCACACTTACAATAAAATATTCGAGAGATTCATAGAAGACGAGAGGGTAGCTGACATGGCTCCAGATCACCACCTGGTAGTTGCTAAGATGAAACCGAAGCTAAAGGAACACTGGGCAACTGGAGAAACAACATTACGAAGGTTCGAGATACTGACAAACTCAACATGCCAAGAGGTGCTGACAGAATGAAGCATCATCACAAGGAATGGGTCTCTATCGAAACCTTGGACAAGATTCAAGAGAATAAGAAGACAGCTATTGAAAATAGTCGAACAACAGCAGAGAAAGCCAAGGCATAGGCCTGATACATGAGAGCAGACAAGCAAATGAAGCGGAGCATTAGAGCCAACAAGCAGAAATACGTCGAAGTCCTACCAATAACAGTTGAAAAAGCTGTAAGAAAAGGAAATATCCGACAACCAGATGATACAATGATGAAACTATCAGGGAACTATTGTCAAACAGAGAGATCGGTCAAGGACAAAGAGGGCAAGTCAGTCACTGAGATTCAAGAACAGAGGAACAGATGGGAAGAACACTTTAAGGAACTCCTGAATAGACCAGGTCCATTGAATCCATCCAGACCTTATAGCTGTCACTCCATCAACGATCGAAGAAACCAGGATGGTCATTAGACAAATCAAGAGTGAGAAAGCAGCAGAACCGAACAACATACCACCTGAAGCATTGAAGTTAGACATAGAAACAACGGCAGATATAATCTACGTTCTATTAAGGAAGATTTGGGAGAAAAAGTGCGACCGAAAGACTGAAAATATGGATACCTCATCAAGATACTAAATAAAGATCTCAGAACATGTAAGAACTACCATTGCATCACACTATTATCAGCACTAGGAAAGGTTATCAACAGTGTGTTACAGAACCGAATGAAAGATTCAGTGGACGCCAAACTACAAGATCAACAGATTGGATTCCGTAAGGATCGGTCGTGTACAGACGAAATCGCGACACTACGGATCATCGTTGAACAATTAATTGAATGGAACTCGTCATTATACATCAATTTCCTTGATTAGAAGGTATCTCAGAGTGTGAATAGGAGAACCTTATGACACTTTCGACAAGGTGGTGTACTTGAGGTCGTCAACATCATAAGGAATTCATACGATAGACTAAACTGCAAAGTCGTGTGTGAAGGACAACTTACAGATTCATTCTGAGTAAAGATTAGTGCAAGACAAAGCTGCTTACTCTCTCACTTTCCTTTTCTTCTGGTAGTTGACTGGATTAAAAAGACCTCGACATCTGAGGGAAAGCACAGAATAAAATGGATAGGTTGGATCTAACTAGACGATTTGGGCTTCGCAGATGACCTGGCCCTAATATTTCATACACATCAACAAATGCAGGTCAAGACAACCAGTATGGCAGAAGCCTCTGAGGCAGTAGGTCTCAACATACACAAGGGAAAAACCAATATCCTGAAATACAACACAGAGAACATGAACTTAATCACATTTGATGGGGAAGCCCTGGAAGAGGTGGGGACTATCACATATCTAGGGAGCCTCATCGATAAACAAGGACCTGATACCAGCGGAAATGAAGGGTTTGGTAAAGCAAGGGCAGCATTCCTACAGTTGAAGAACATATGGGACTCAAAACAATTGTCAACTAATATCCAAGTCAGAATCTTCAATACGAACGTCAAAACAGTTCTATTGTACGGAGCTGAAACAACCATCATCAAAAAGGTACGAAAATTTATAAACAGTTTTCCATGCAAGACACTCAATATCCGTTGGCCGGATACTATCAGCAACAACCTACTGTGAGGAAGAAAAAATCAGCTTCCAGCTGAAGAGAAAATTAGGAAAAGACGCTGGAAGTGAATAAGACATACATTGAGGAAAATATCAAGCTGCATCACGAGAAAAACGCTAACTTAGAATGCTGAAGGGAAAAGGAAAAGAGGAAGACTAAGCAACACTTTGTGCTAGGAACAGGAGTCAGACATCAAAAGAATAAATAACTGAGATTTGCCCAGAACAGAGTTCGACGGAGAATCCCTGTGGGCGGCCTATGCTTATCCATGAGTGGTAACAGGCGTAAGGAAGTCATTTTCGATAACTGATGTATGAGGATATACATACTGATAGGTTGAGTGAATTGGAATATGACTGACGTATATCTCTACGGAAGCAGAAGTATATTTTAGAAAATAAACACACTTATATATTTAAAAACTAATACTCCAGTCCTTTACGGAGTTCGAAGTCTTCTAGGACTGGGTAATATAAGCATTTAGAGGTTCCTAAATCTTCTGGGGTCAATCATAACAGTGAAAATGCATTTATATTTTGATATTCCGTAAAAACTAATACTGTTTGATCATCTAGTTTACATTCGCTCGTATTAGTCTTATGTTATTGACAACGTGAGCAATCACAGACGGTATTGAATTTGCCCAAGCTCTAAAGCATAAATATGTTATTAGTTTTTACAGTGCAGAACAAAATGAATATGATACTTGGACAGTTGTCGTGATAACTCGGTGTTAAGTTTAATACTAAATTTCCATTTCAGCCTTCATTGTGATTGCAAACAGTTAGCTAAAACAAATCTTAAGTAAGTTGTGGTTAGAGCGCTAACAGACTACTATTATACATTCTGTAATTAGGCCTAAGTCTCAGAAATGAGATACTTGTACTGTTGGATAGATATTCCAGGACCTTGAACTTATGCGATTATTTTTCATGATTTAATTTACCGGTAAACTGAATTACTTTATCCATATTCTTAAAAAATTACACTCGTAAGACGAAGTTAGTGTGTTCATAGAAAATGTAGAACACATGAAACGAAATTTAAAAAAAATATGTTTACTTCTTCCATTCTTTGGTTCGGTTAGTGTTAAGCGTTCTAAAACTTCAGCTTTTTCATAGTTTGCTCGTAAAAGACGCAACCTCGTATCATGAAGTAGCTCTTCTGTCTTAATTAACTGTTGCCTTGTTTCAGCCAGCTGTGCACGCGTAGACAACCATCCACTTTCCATTTCGTTAAGTTGAATTCTCAAGGTTTCTAAATGATGCTCCAGATCCAATTGGATATGACTGGATGACTTAGCTAAGTTTTCGAGCTCATTAATTTTATCAGAACTTCGTTTATTTTCAGATTCTAATTCTATAATTTGAGACACCAACCTACAAACCTCTTTTTCCTTCAGCTTATAAGAAGTTTCAGTCAGTGAAAGTTTGTCCTCTAACTGTTTGTTTGTTGATTGCAGAGATAGAACTACGTCATTTTTACTTTTAAGCTTTCTTCAACTTCTAATAAGTGTTCCCTTGTTTTAGAGAGATTGCAACGTAGGTCGGCTACTTCACTTTTAAATCTATCAGATAGGGCTGAAACCTGAGAAGCCTTTTCTTTTTCGTCGATTAGCTCAGTTTTGAGATTATTTAGTAAAATTTTTAAATTGGCAGTTTCTTGTAAAGAAATATCCTTAGTCTCTTCAGCATGCTTCATGTTTGATATAATTTGGTCTTTCTCACGACGATGCTCTTCCGACATAGTGTTGATAATTGATTTATAATTGGAAACACAATTTGCAAGACTATCTTTCAGGCGGTTTACCTGAAATACAATACAATATACACATACAAAATTTTCACTAAGACAAAATAACGATTACATACGCGTGTTGAAAGGAAACATGTTGATCAGTAAAAATGTTCAAACAAAGCTTAGAAAGATGTGATTATTGATTACTCTCTTGGGGCTAGAAACGATCTTTTGTCATTGGTAGTGTAACTGCTATTCTATATTTGAGAGAATATGTAATACACTCTCTCTAGGAGTGAAAACCACTTTTAATGATGTTGCTATAGTTTTCCTCACAAAAATGTAATATGTGATAAATGTTACTTATTATATTTAGCTTTGGATAGATGTAAATTTAATGACCTATATACAGAAAAATTAGTGATCGAACGTTACACAACTCAACAAAAAGTCATCTAGGTATCAAGCAATAAGGTGTAAACGAGACAATACATTTATTTGCTTGCCACCTAGTTCCATCAGAAATATGATTATGATACTTTATTCAAATTAAGTAGATATTTGTTAAATACAGACACCTGCAAGTTGTTTTCTGAGTAAAAACGATTTCAACGAAAGTCTATCACAATAAGCACTCATACCACTGAAATTATAGATAAGTAAAACCCTGCTAATTGTGCTTAGATATGTTTTATTTGCTTCACATAATGACTAAATGCTAAGTTATAGACTTTGCCGCTTCTCACAAATCCTTGTTTTTGCTTCTAGAAATCGCGGCTAGACGGTCCAAGTATTCTATATATTATTCACCACTAACTTTATAGGTGATCGAGGAATATTTTGAAGTACAATAAGAATATCCAAGTAAGCTGTTTTTCAAATTTAAAACCAAGTGAGGAAACTTAAATTTGATCACAACAAATCGTATGTTTAGTAGCCCACTTGCATAAGAATTCAAGTATGTAGTAGTGGTAATAAAATCACTCAATTATGGTTCAACTTGGCTTACTTCTCAATTGTTGATGGCTAGAGTAGAGAATAAGATGTAACTTGCTGTATCTAATAAATAACTCGCGTTACAATCCTCACATGTAATGTTTTAAACATGACATCGTCGGCAACAATATGGAGCGATGGATTAGAGGCTTCGAAATTTTCGCCCTTCAAGTAGTGGATTTCAAATTCGAATCTTACTACATATCATTGAGTTTACGTAGTTAGGTACCAAATAATATAGTGGCAAGTACTAGAACTGATTAAATAAATACGATCGTAACTGCATGAAAACACTAAAGGATTTCCCGTTTAAAAGGCTTGAACAGTTATTCACATTCCTTTTAGTGGAGATTCCAAAATAGCTAAACACTAAAAACAAGGATAAGTAGGGAATACGTTTCTACGTCAGAAATTCTTACCTCTTCTTCAGCAGACTCTCTGAACGCTTTATTGGCATTAATTTGATCATTAAGCTCAACACGTAAATTCTTATTTAAAGTTATTAACTCATCACATTTGCCTTCAAACTCAACGAGTTTTGGCCTTAATTTAGATACTTCCATATCAGCCTCTTTCATTTTCTTTAGTTCTTCATCAATATTTACATGACTGCCTCCAAAACAAGAATGAAGAGATGCAAGCTAAAAGTAATCAACATAAAACAGTCATGAAAATGACGACCGATTATTCATAATAGAAAAGCTTTTGACTTAAACTGTAATTGTAGCTTACCCGATAATATGAAAATATTTCATTAATGAAAATGGTGTACCGACACTGTGTTCACTTTAGAATACAGATAAAATCGGGCCCTAAACTGCCAAATCTAGAAACTTGCAATTGGTTAGTGTTTGCAAAAACATATCCACAAACAGCTTAGTAACTGTTTTCATAGTCAAATTAGGCATTCAGCAATTTCGAACTTGAGGGATTCAAGATAATTCCTGAACAAAATTTTTAACCTCACATATACATCGGCATAACCATTATTTGGATAGACTGAGAACTGTCAATAATTAGTGAATCCAAGCTAATACCTTAATATTAGCGCCTCGAAAATAAATCTAAACGACATTAGTAGATCATTACGAATTTCTAATAAGCATTATTGTAAATCAGTAACCACTTTTTTAACTTTAATGAAAGCTATAGAGCTGACATCAATGTTTTACTAAAGATATAGTTAAAGGATGGACAACTGATATTAGTCTAAAGATCAATCGAACCATTCTTTGAAGTCTTGACTTCATTATCTTAACCGCGTTTTGGAAGTTTACTAAGTATCTGTTTATTTTAGCCACACAGAGGTCATTAAAATGTGATTTTCTATATATATGATTTTACTTTCTTTACTTATCAACATATAAATATTAACGTAAGAAGAGAATATTAAAATCCGATCATAATACCTTTTGTTTAACGTAAGTTGACTATCATTAAGGTATTTTCATTTAAGTAAGTTGATGCAAGTTAGTAACCAAATATAGGTCTATGCACTTGGTTTTGAATAAAATATTTCGTGGAGTCGAGTAGTACCACAGAAGTTAGAGTGATCCGATTTGAAAACTTAAATGGGGCTACCAGGAGTTAGGATAGAACCAATTTTTATTGACTAGTAAAACGACTTACTATATGAATAAAAAATAATGTACAATTAGCTTTATCGCTACAACGTATTTAAATTTTACACTAACCTTGGCATTCAATTCACAATTTTCAGTCTTAAGTAAGTTCACTTTATTTTCCCAATCATGGAAGCCAATCTCAGATTCTAATCGTATTTTGTCCATTTCAATATAAAGCTGTTTTCTCTGAGCATATAATTCAGTGATCATTTTTATCTGCTTAGCTTTTATCTCTGTAACTTCTTTATTGGCTTGAGTCAACTTTGCTTCCGAACTCAGAATCTGTATATAAAATATTGTGAAATAAAAATTAACAAGAAAAGTAAGGAGACATACTTCATGCATCATAATTAAGCAGCAGATTCTTAGACAGCATACGTGACAATGTCAACTGTTATACCAATAGTAACAAACAACAATAAGTGTTTTATTTGCACAGTTTATAAGACCGATATTTTTCTAACTTATAGAGAAAAACTAAGGAATTATATTGAATTGTGACTAAACATTCGATCAAAAGTTAAACAGACAAAAACTAAAATAAAACCTTATTCATAATTAATAATGAGATTGTAAATATTTAAGAATACCCAAAATAAATAAACTCTTCGATGGATAAACTTATTCAATAGTGAAAGAACTAATTTCTTAAACAGCCATGCAACAGATCTGACACCGTCTTGTATAATCCAACATTTTAGAGACGAGTGGGAAAGCTTTGTTTAGATGTGGAACAGCGCCAATGACTAAGATACTTCAATAATAGTCAAGTGATTTGGTGATAACACATGGACATCAGTAAAATATCTTGAATAAGATTCAAACAAGGAATAACCTGTACAATTAACAGCTAGATTGAAATCTAATTTATTTTAACAACAAATGCTATTTACCTCTCAGAAATCTGTTAACTTCAATTATATGTGACTTCACTATGATTAGTCATTTTTATATATTTTCCTTTCGCTTTAAGATCATTTTTAGTAGTAACATTTTCGGAACACAGCACTTGGAAACTGATTTGTGGCACCAAATATAGTGACATGAAGATTAAAATTCTAATTTTAGTATCCATTGATAATATGGTATATTAACGATGTCTTCTTAATTACATTTGTAACACATAAATAGATCCCGTTTAATATGTGACGATTTGTAGCTCAGGTGAATGATTTTGGAGTCTCGTTCTTTGTACTGGATGGTTTGGTCATGGATACTTCACTTCTACTTAAAGTTTGTGTTGGTAATGTACAGAAAAAGAATGTAAGCTCCAAAACCAAGTTATCGAGCTCAGAGAACGAAACTCAACCAAAAGGATTCCATCTGACTAGGAATAGTTCGATAAGTTGTTCAATAAATCTGCTTTAATATCCTATCAATCGGAAATTGCCTGTTTAGTTACATGTTTAGCTCTCACTGAACACCACTTACTGTCAATTGATAAACCAATGGAAGTTTAGTGTCATATCACAACAATATGTCGTTTGTAGTTATATCAATGCTATAACTAACGACGTTGTTGGGGTACAATTCAATCTGTTTAGGAGTAGTGTATAAGTAAAAATCACAGAAGAAGCAAGGAAAACAACTTGAGTTGTAAATTTTGAAACAAATGTCACTCGTTTATGGTAACATTCCTTTATTGCATGACATTGAATGTTGAAAAACACAAATGTAAAAGTTATGCGGTCATCTTGATGCTTAGAAGTGATACATGATTCACTGATCATAAAAAGCCTTGGAAATTCCGTAACTAATGAATTAACTTATCAGACAAAAAATACATTAGGAAATTCAATGATCTACATGATAATAAAATCTTACTTTTTCACAGAGTTTTTCGAATCTAGTATCCATCATTGATTTGAGATTATTAAGTTCTCTTGTCAAAACCTATGTATATTCGAAAAACATTTAAACGCTGTTGAACATATTTACCAATTACAAAGTGATTTACGACTTGAAGTCATCAAGAATAACTGAAAGTATTATTCATTAAAATGTAAAGCAAAAAGAATTAACTTTTTGAGGTTCAAGCAATTCATAAACATTCTAGGGTATTTTTACAAGAAGCAGTTTCTGACCCACAGAACCGGTCTTCACATATTGAGTGAACAAGAAAACAAAGAAATAAGATAATCCTACGCTTATGACTTAACCTAAATTTTTGTTTAAAACTTAACAAATAGTTTCATAATAGTTGGGTGATGGATTAATGGAAAACATTATTAAAAAGGGGACAATATTTGTAAACATCTCAGTGATTGAAATTAGAATAACTGAACATTTTATTTAACAGTCTAATTCGAGCTTCTTCATGAAAATTGTCAAAGATAAATATATGGTTTACAAATTAGCAGCGTACAATTTATCTAGTATATTGTTAATTTTTGGACTATAATGTTTATATCTTATAATTTTGATGCTTGATTGTTTCCCCTTGAGGATCAGATCAGATTGAGGAGTGAAATATCATTGCAATTTCAATCGCTGAGATATTTACAAATATAATTCCCCTTTTAATATTTAAGTCAACAATGTTACACAAGGGGACTGTCTAAAATAGAATCTAGAACATACATATTATGACTCAAATGATATTTAGATTAGATACAATAAGAAATTTTACTTTACTAGGTATTGTAACTTCCCAAATCAACTGTGTTTTGGCTTAGGTGGCCCAGAACAAATAAGATATCAGAAATCGTAACAATAAATTAGAAAAGAAATTGATTAAACCATAAGTTAACTTTACCCCACATGAATATTGAAAGCTGTTAATTATACTGCCACGGTGTTTTGCAAGGACTTTTCCGAACAATGAATTAAATCGTTGTACAATATACTTCTTTCTCATAATTTGGTAGTCTGTTTGTGCCTTAACAACAGCTGACTCAAGATCCTGAAGCTGATTATTTATCATCACCACAGAAGCCAAACTTTCAGCAGAACCTGCGTTTGAAACATCTAAAAAGAGAATCAAAGTAAACTACATAGCATAGTGCCTAAGAAATAGACAGAAGGATAGAGGGAATCCAGGCATCGAAATCGGAAACGAAGTTTAGCCAATACACAAATACCAACTTGAACAGATTAATGATTATTAACTTCGTACATGAACGGTATAAATGGATTTACGTTTCTAAATTTACTTTCGTTTCTATAGAGATGTCAGTCTGATGAATACAAATTTATATTACCATTTCACCGATATATATATATATATCCCTATATGTTAGTTATCGAAAATGACAGCTATCAAATAATGAAATGAGATGGAGGGTAGTAGTGTTATGTAGGAATATTATGTGGACGTTATGTTAACGTTAATTTACATACGTAGATTGAATCAATGATTTATCTCTCGAAATGGCAGTGTACAAACTTGAAGTAGTTAACAATAAAAAATTTATTAGTCCTAGAACCCTATCCATAACTATCTTGTAATATCTGTCTATACTACAAGGTATTAGATCTATCGTTATATTGCAGTGTCTTGAAACACAACAAACAGTTTAAAAACCGACCAATTTACTTTTCTAGACTAAATGGACATCAGCTTTAGAAGTACTTTAAAATGTAACAATCATGAGATAATTCACCTGCATTAGAAAGTTGCAATTCTTTGCCAAAGCTTGGATGAAATGTATGTGCAGATTGAGGACAGTTCTCACATGAATAACACCTGTTGTCACACAGAGAAGTTATTGTTTCCGAAGTAGAACCCTGGTTACGAATTAAAGAATTCATCTGTGCTACGCATTCCGCTTCGGATCTAGCTAGAAGTCGTTCGCGATGGCACAATAATTCATGTATCTAAAAATAATTTCGATGGATTTTTGTATAAAACATAAAAGAAATTTAAAAGCACTACTGGAGAATTTATAATTGTAAGACTCAAAGGAGAGTATAATACGGAGTATTATTTGTGCTAAATCATGTTAATTGAATGAATAATACCTATATAACATAACTTAATGGATTAACTTTGAGGAAAATCTATTTGAACCATTATGGCCAATCATATGTTTACCACGTGGAAGTTGCGAAACATCATAGAGCTCAGAACAACCATCACCTTTTCACCATCTTTGTTTTGTTAGATTATGTTGACTATGTACCACTAGATTACAGAATATTTCAATGATTACGTGAACTAACAAACGAAAACGTTTTCAAAAATACGTATTTGTTAAGGGGGAATACGATAGCGAAACTAAAAGCACTCCAGTCCGTGAGCAACAACGTAGAACTTTGTACGTACGTACATCAGTTCGAGTTGCCATACCACATTAGCACAGGGATACAATTGTCAATTCAAACCCCACCGTGGTAGAGGTAGTAAAGTATAATCAGTAATCGGAAAGATTAGGTTTGAAGATGTTACTCAAGGAGTATAATCTAATGAAATAAATTTGGAACGAGAATAAAGGGGACATGAAGAATTCAGAAGATTAGAATTTGGGAGAACACAAAGGGTGGATGCACCTGCACCATTGCAAACGATTTTGAGCCATGTCATTCAACGTTTCTAACCATTGGTTGCTATCGTCTCGCGGATCGCAACCAGATAGTCTGCACCTACCAACATGGCTCAGTTCATTTGTCTGTGACTTCATGGATTTGTGCCATGTTTTAGTCTGGCCGCCCCCAGCTTTTTTCCACCCCACTCCTACACACAAAACATCGCTTATCGGGGCAGTCTGTGGTTGGGCATACTGAACACATATCACAGACACCTCAAATGATGAAGTTTCACTACTTCACAAATCGATTTGCCATCCTTGCCTAGTACCCGTTTCCTAACAACTGCAGTACTTACTTGTTGGTCTCAGGATATACGAGTAATGTTTCGAAGATATCTATGATCGAATACTAGTAGCCTACGAATATCCTCTACTCTAACCGTCCATATCTCACTGCCATAGAGCAGAACGGAACGACAAGTTGCGCAGTAAACCCGTCTTTTGGTTGGTAGACGGATATCTTGCCAACGCCATAAATGACGCAAGTTGGCAAGAGCTAGTCGATCCTTCTGTATCCGTGCTGAGATTTTGTCACACACCAGATCACAAGGGCTGATGAGACTTCCAAGATAAGTGGAGCGGTTGACACGCTCAACTACTTTAGGATAAATGGAACTATATCACTTTGTTAGTTTACGATTGGATTCAGATCCATTAATCACTCAGAACCTAGAAGTTTCTTTGTGCAACATCTGAAGAAACAACGAGGGCACAGCAGACAAAGTGTCCTAAGATAATTTTTGATAGCTATTTTGTAACACATAGTTTCCAATAGTGATAAATGAATATCGTCTTGAAATATTTGAGATTTCATGGCCTCTCAATTTTAGTGTTACCTCAGCCAGCAGTTTAGAATATTATAGGCAAGACAGTAACACCATGTCGAAAATCAAAAGAAAAAATCTGGGTGAGAGTATCTGTATAAACTGCCCCACTTTACGATGAACTGGTAAAAAGACGAAGAGGAACGAAAGATATGAGATACCACTGAGCTCAAAATTTCGAGGGAGAAGAATGAATGTACCTCGATGAACTTGACCAATTTTGAACCACACTACCTACAGCCTTTTCATAAGATCACAATGGGAAGGTTTGCACCTCTTAGAATGGTTTGATTAAACAACCAATGGCACAATGTACTGATATCACATATTGAATCAACCTCCATCAGTCTTTTTAAAACCTACTTGTACATAAGCCTGCGTACCATGCCAAGTTTGAAGTAAATATTAGTAGTCATTTGTCTCAATAATTTTTAATGACAACCAACCAACGTTAATGAAGTCAATGATAATCTCAGGATTATTAGACACTTGGATTCCCAATTCTAATGAATACTATAACTCTAAAGAACATAATTAAGATTAAGATAAGACGCAAACAAACAAAAAAAATTCGGGAAAGGGTTACTCTTCACAAAATATACAAAACTATACCTCATTATCTGCAAGCCGGGCAACAACTTTCATTTGAGTAAGTTGGTGTTCAAGTTCTTGTTGAGATAACAAACGCGAACGAATAATTTCCAATTCTTTTTCCTATAAAAATAGAAACTGAACACAGGTTTCACAAATTATAGTTATAATTATAAAAGAAATACTTCTTACTGTGTAGGATACCGAACAATTTCTTAACCACAAAAAAAACTGTTAGATACACACTCATACGGATAGTTAGAAATCTTAAAATCTGTAAACTGGAAAGAGCCAAGTTCCTTTTGAAGGGATACATGAAGCAAGAAACGTTAGATACGCTTTGTCATATGTGATTTCACAAAAACTAACAGAAGCGAACATCTATGTCTATGTTTTCACTCGCAGACATACCATTCGCATAGTACTCAATTCGAAAACTAATAACAGTAACTTATTGGGAATGTAATTTGAAGTATTACTTTACACATGCACCGCACAAAGCGAGAAAAATTATCATGGGCCCCCACCATTTCCTTTAAGATTTGCCTTTAGGTTTTTCTGGATAATGTAGTCTTGTTCTATGGCCATGGAATTTAGTCTGCACATCTAATGTTTCTGATCTTCAAGATTACACAATACAGTTCGACCCAATTTTTCTAGTATGATTAAATTCAGCATATATTCAGACATCGTTATGTCTGTACCTTGTGAGAACTTGAAATCGGTCTTCAATATCCTGTAATGTTTAAAGACTTAACTACATTCCAGTTGCCAGTTACTACTGGGAATGACTTTATAGAACATTTATCAGTAAAGTGTTACAGGTTATCATAAAGAGATTATTTCTACAAATGATTATAAACAAACAGCCCAATTCAGAATAAATATGGTACTATATTTTATTAAATTATGACAGCAATTACTACTTGCCTGAAATATTTCTACACGCTGAAATCTTTTAGGCTTGTTCCAATTCAAACATTTGTTAAATTTCAACAGCTTGACTATTTACGCCATATCCTACCATATATTAGAGCAGTCAACAGTAAAACTGAACTCTTTAATATTATCGTAGTACCGTTCTCCTTGACAAAAATTAAAGTTATCAAAATGTAAAAACTTCAAATCCTACCATCATGAACCAACATTAATTCAACGTAGCTACCCTCCAAAGACTGGACTGATTACACTACAGCCTTTGAATGCCAAAGAGATACCTACTTTACAGACATGTACTCCTAGATGGATAGAAAAGTTTATAGAAATCAAACTGAAACACGGTATACAAACATCAGCGTGAAGAATTTAACGCAGCTCATATCGCAAAATGAGTCTGTAGTTTAAGAAGTCGGTTAGGTAACGGTTGCGCGAAACTACTACTGAATGTCACTTGAATTTATGTTTTCGGGAACAACAAGGTATTTTTAGTTGCGTTTATTTCAGAGTAACAGGTTTATCCATTTACGTGCTAATTAAGCGTGATATTGACAAAAATATAAAACTCAAACCGCCTGAAGCACAAATAACCTCGGTTGAAAAAAAAACACTTCACATGAACATTGATTCTAAGGGTGATGGAGGTACAGACGCCCTAAAGAGAATTTCTGTGTGTCAAAAGAAATCGGTACAACCTTTTTTCCTACCATCGTCTTAATATCTCATAATTTCTTTTACTTTATACTCCTCTTCCTTCGCAACCATCTGCTTCTCTCTCTATTTTCTCAATAGACCTTCTATCCCCAACTGGTTTATTTCTGTTTCTATGATCCTCCTGATTACATTTCATCTCAATTTCAACATTTGATTATATCATGCTGAGCCATCCTTTTCCAATAATATTTTCTTCATCTACCTCCATGATGAATCGACTCATGAATTCAACTATTAAATTACTACACTTTCCACAAACCCTCATTCTGATAATATTATTAGCTTCCCTGATAAAAAAGTAACGTTTTGAAACCTATGTTTATTCTACCTCACTGTCACCATGTTTAACAGGATTTTATTATCACTAATATTGCAATTACTGTAATTATCATCCAGAAGTGTATATATTTGCGATCGTACAGCTTTGAAAATGAATTCGCTAAAAGAGAACTCTTCGCTGAACCAATCCTTCTAATCTTTAGTATCACCAAAACTTTATGAATGACATACCTTAGTTTTCAAGTTGCGGTTTTCTTTGAGAAGCTCCTGATTTTCCTTGTCCAATTGATTAACTACCTTTAATTTTTCCAAAGCATCATTCAGATTTTCCTGTAGACTGTAGTACAAAATAAATCAAAAGCCCATTTTTACTGAACGAGACACTACACATTAAATTGATGAGAACTGTACATATACATAAATTTACTTTACTGACTAGAAAGCTAAGAACCTAAGCGTTAGCCGGCAATCCTAGCATAGAAGAAAAACAATTACAGAAAATCAAACAACCCAAAGTACACTACGCAGTTCACATCTTTCTTCGACTTTTTGAAGAAATGCAGCTTAATTCTAGACAGTATTTTTAACCAGTGTCGTGGGTTTTAGCTAATTTTATCTACTTCAGTGCAATAAACAGAAAATATGTGTAGCGTTTATATATATATATATATATATATATATATATATATACGTTTGTTTTGAAACCTGATAAAACTTTGACTTAATAACTGAATTGCATAATACGATAGGTTTTACCATCGCGTTTAAAATGAATCAATATTTTGCAGACCTAATTGCTTCATATCTGTAATTCGTTATCATCTATAATCATAACTGTAGTTAGTTACCCACAACTAGCTGCTTCAGACAGTGAAACAATAGAACGTATCTACCATGACAAAACAATGTAAAACTATGTCTGATTATGACGTAAAACACAACAATTGGCAGGATGAATGTGAATTTATCGCTAGGAAATGCAAAGTATTTGCATAATACATATACATAGTCTTCAACCGTCCATTTGGATCTTTCGGTGTATTCTGCCATCTGAATTGTTTTCTCATCTGGTCTCCTAGTGTTCTGACAACGCCGTGCTTTAGATGCACTGGAACTCTTCACTTCGTCTGACAACTGTTGCAACTTTGATGCCACGATCCGCTACAACACTACTTACAATCTTGTGAGTAGCGTTCACTACAATAGAACATCTACACACCAGTCTCGACTAGATGTTTTTTTTATGCTATGTACAGTAAATAATCATATCAAAGTAAGATGTTAATTGTAAATACTTCAGCAAGTAATTGATAACTATGCCCATATTGTACTGTGATACGACTGAATGCTATCATCTTCCAGAAGCTGTTACCGAGAACCTTTTGTATTTATTTCCTATCAATTCTTCGTCACACTACTTCCCGATGCTAGATGACTTAACCCCAGGGAATATGCTAATTTAAATGCTACGTCAAGTTATAACTTACTGATCAACAAGATTAGATCGTTGTTCGTGAAATGAACGCATTTCTATTTCATAAGCCAATTCATCACGCATTTCGTTTAACTCTGATTCACGTCGCTTCAAGCGGATTTCTGTTTCTTTTCTCCTTACTTCTGAAGCTTGCAACTCGGAACTCAGGCGACTAAGTTCACACATGTTTTCTTCATATAAATGCTGGACCTCAGATAACTTGGAAGACAAGGATCGAATTTCATCCAATTTGGATAAAAGTTGGCCCTTGATAATATAAATGTACAGCGAGAAGTTATTCAACTTGGTGTACTACAAAAAAGCGTGAATTATTCTAAATAGTTTGTTAGGACGTGGATCGCTAGGGACAATGAATGATCAATTTTGAGAGAAACGAAACCACCTAAATGACTTTAAGTAGAGCTAATATTCTATTGGATTCGAAATACCTAGGCGACCTGCAGTCCTGGTTGTAAGACATCGAGGAAGGTATTTGTGCTTTACGGTAATAATACCTGGTCCAACTGATCTGAGGATCCTCGAAAACTTTTTGTTCGACTACCTTTCTCTCCAAAAGAAGGATAACAACTGATTGCAATGCTGTGTAGGTATTGAGAAAGTCCAGTGTTGTGTTTAAGCATAGTGGTGATGATATCTCAACGTTACCACTTAGAAATAGGCTCCGGTGGCTTAGTCACTTTTTAAACAATTGCGCCAACCACTTTTATATCGCGCACAATTTCTAGACGTTGAAACTACGGAGAGAAAGCAGTAATCAATTTTTGACATGAAGGTATGGTATATAGAGTAGTCGTGCGGCATTAGATATCGTGAGTTTATCACAACTCCCTGAATACAATGCTTAAGATCCTTCAACTTGCTGAGTTGATTCTGTACTATAACTGTTTCAGAATAGAAGCCGAAACTTTCTATTCCATTCTCCGTAAGTTCCAGTATATTATTTATTTAAATTTACTTTGGTTGCATTTATACTCAAATTGCGGAACCTTGGCATGGCTAAGGTGTTCAGCTTTCATTCACCAAGACCCATGTCTGAAACCCACTGCATTCACTTCTATTCGGACAGTCGGGTAGTATCATTAGCACTTAGCGTGTCTCAAATCCAAGTATCTAGCGAATGGGTCAATTATTTGTTATTATATTGTTACAGACCTCGTATTTTAGGATCATTTATTAACTGGATTATTCTCATACTTCCAATTTTTCACCAGATTGCCATTCTGTTTTTTTTTCGCATCCCTTTGAGGCTCTATTGAATCAAGATTTTCTCTGTATAATAACAATCATGAACATATCATTAACTGATAATTTTATCCGTCACTACAGCCTTCTTTTCTGTATCTCTTCGCAGTTTTAAATGTTGTTGTTACAACTAGGGTTCTATCTTAAAATGTGACAAGCTGACCCAATAGATCATTAAGGCGCATTCAAAATGGTATGGTTTTTAGACTTTGTTTACTTTTCAATCTCCATTCCTAATGTCACCAATAACGATAATAGCGTTCTCGCTAACTAATCCAAGTTAGTAAGAACATCATCAAGACTATGTATCAGAGCTTCGGAAGCCTACGTTTTGACCTTGTATAAGGCACTCTTCCTGGTTTTAAAATCACATGAAATAGACACATCTCCAAACAACTTAATGTCTACTAATTAAACAAAGTAAAATTGATATGTATTTTAGATTTTTCTATGTAGCAGCAAATCAAAGGACGAAACAGTCTTTAAAAACTTTCAATATGGTACTTACGTAAACCATCAAGTTTTTAGTCGCACAGAACCTCAACTTTGAAATAATTCCTGAGAATAAACAACTTGAAATCATAAAAATCCCCATAAAAACTTTGATTCGAAACCAATTTATTGATCACCATTTACTAACCTTAGGAACGACTTGTGGTGACTCTAGAATTGATTTTAATGAGTAAAGAGGAGAGTCGATTTCCGACTCGAAATCATTTCCAAACCCAGATTTTGTGATACAGCTTTTTCCTTTGCGGACATGAAGAGATTCAAAAAAGGTTTGTGGAGATGAGTATGAGGAGTGACCTGTACATCTGTAGGAAAGTTCATTCCCGGAATCTGTATCATCAAAAGTAAGTTCAGGACCAGTTACACTTAATTCTTTGTGTCCAAACGGTAATATGGGTACTTTTGAAATAATAGGACAAGTCAAAGGAGCTAAAAAGATTTAGAAATAAGTGGAACTTACCCTTTATATTTCTGCTTTGGTGAATGGGTGTCACCGGGTGATTTTCTAAATCTAAGCTTAACGCTTCAAAAGAAGTCATCGAGATTGGGCAATCTTCAATAAGAGGTTGAGTCATTTCAACAATATGATAATGCATTGTGCTAGGAAGCTTGAATGCTGCACTCATAAATAGTTTGGACTTCAAGCGCAGACCCATAGTCAAAACCAGTAACAAAAACTAAAAAATTATTTACATAGAATGAACTTACACAATAGTGTCGGTAAGTAGGTCCGCGACCATCATCTGCATTCGTCGGGAAAATAGAGTTAAGATCAACAGAGAAGAAATCTAAAGCATTACTAATACAAATTTGTATACCTGACAAAATATTGTGTACCGTTTTGGGTATATCTTCATTGTTGATAACAGTGCTCATACTTGAATCCTTGCTTCATTTATAGCAGAAAAATAAATAATAATTCAGAGTTAAAAACTGATTGGGGTATCGAATTTTAAACAGCTAGCTTGCTCAAAACTGAACACAAAAGCTACCTTTAGACCGGCAATATAATAGTTCGCAATGGATTCGCCCTTCAATACTTCATATAAACGTAGCAACTTTTACAACTACATTTAGGCTTCGCTGAAATTCAAGCAACATGATTGATGATGTGAGTTTACGAGAAGTTTTGACAAGGAAATTGTAGTAACTTTCCAGATTCCCAGGAGCTCATCTCAGTTGTGAATACCTATGAATTTTCGTGGGAAACTCAGAATAACAGCTATTAACTTGCATAGGTATGAAATAGCGACTTATTTCTACTATGCCAGGAACGGAATACTTACCGCAGTGGAGTCAGTATGGAAGTGCAAACAGAAGAATAAAAGGACCCAAATACATCTCTGACAGACGTCAGTCAGTCAATCAGCTATAACGTAGGACCAGGTACATATGTGCATCAGTCTAAGTTGCCACACCTCATTAGCACAACACAATTAACACCGGATTCATAGTAGTTAATTCAATGATAATATATAAAGGAAAGATTGCATATAGGGATATGGTACAGGAAGAATTAGATCGTAGAAAGATACAAAATGGTTTTAGTCTCATAGTTTAAAGGAAGATAGAGAGTGTATACACCT